CCTTAAGCAGAGAATCAGTAAACACTTATGATCTTGTTTGTTTCTGCTAGAAACCAGTAATTAGATATCACCTTTTAGAAAATTACTGTCTTAACCTCTTATACTATAGACATGTTCTGACAAATTATTTCCCCCTTTTTAACAGTTCATTTAATAAAGAACTTCTAGAATGGTTGAAAGCTACACTGCTCAAAAAAATAAAGGTAACACAAAAATAAGACATCCTAGATCTGAATGAATGAAATATTCTATTAAATACTTTGCTCATTACATAGTTGAATGTGCTGACAACAAAATCACACAAAAATTATCAATGGAAATCAAATTTAGCAACCCATGGAGGTCTGGATTTGGAGTTACACTCAAAATTAAAGTGGAAAAAAACACTACAGGCTGATCCAACTTTGTTGTAATGTCCTTAAAACAAGTCAAAATGAGACTCAGTAGTATGTGTGGCCTCCACATGCCTGTATGACCTCCCTACAATGGTTGGCATGCTCCTGATGAGGTGACGGATGATCTCCTAAGGGATCTCCTCCCACACCTGGACTAAAGCATCCCCCAACTCCTGGACAGTCTGTGGTGCAAAGTGGCGTTAGTGGATGGAGCGAGACATGATGTCCCAGATGTGTTCAATTGGATTCAGGTCTGGGGAACGGGCAGACCAGTCCATAGCATCAATGCCTTCGTCTTGCAGGAACTGCTGACACACTCCAGCCACATGAGGTCTACCATTGTCTTGCATTAGGAGGAACCCAGGGCCAACCAGACCAGCATACAGTCTCACAAGGGATCTGAGGATCTCATCTCAGTACCTAATGGCAGTCAGGCTACCTCTAGCGAGCACATGGAGGGCTGTGTGGCCCCCTAAAGAAATGCCACCCCACACCATTACTGACCCACTGCCAAACCAGTCATGCTGGAGTATGTTGCAGGTAGCAGAACGTTCTCCATGGCGTCTCCAGACCCTGTCACATGTGCTCAGTGCTTTCATTCACTTTCATTCAAAGGTGACCAAACCATCAGCCAGAAAGCATAGGAACTGAGAAGTGGTCTGTGGTCACCACCTGCAGAACCACTCCTTTATTGGGGATGTCTTGCTAACTGCCTATGCTTTCTACCTGTTGTCTATTCCATTTGCACAACAAGATGTGAAATTGATTGTCAATCAGTGTTGCTACCTAAGTGGACAGTTTGATTTCACAGAAGTGTGATTGACTTGGAGTTATATTGTGTTGTTTAAGTGTTCCCTTTATTTTTTTGAGCAGTGTAAATACAATTGTATGCTTTAAATCTGAATTCTTTTTTAATTCTTTTGCTCAGAATAATTTATGTTATGCTTCCCAGAGTCAGAATTAGGCAGCACTCAAATCAAATCAAATCAAATAATCAACTACAGGTAGTCCTCAACTTATAACCCTTACTTGGCGACTATTTGAAATTACAACAGCACTGAAAAAAAGTGGCTTATAACCATTTTTCACACTTAAAAACTGTTGCATTCCCCCCCTGTGGTCACATGATCAAAATTCAGATGCTTGGCAATTGACTCATATTTATGACGATTGCACTGTCCCAGGGTCATGAATTCATTTGTTGCAAGCAAAGTTAATTCAACAACTGTAGCAAGAAAGGTTATAAAATGGGACAAAACTCACTTAACAGCTGTCTCGCTTAGCAACAGAAATTTGAGACTTAGTTGTCACCATAAGTCAAGGACTACCTCTATCTTCAGTGATAAGAAAGATCTGTATTTGGAAGTTTCAGTATACAAATTGATATAACTAGGCTTTCAATATTGTTAATATTAGTGTTTTTTTTAAATATAAAGGAACAAAGCAAATTATCCCCGAAGCAAAATTCTGTGAAACATTGACATTTTTTACCAGAATTAGTTGTTCTGAAACATTGACATTTTTTACCAGAATTAGTTGTTATTCAACATAGCTATAATTTGCCTTAATATATCCGTGTTAGACAGGATTGGTTTAAAAATAATAATAATAATCATCATCATCATCATCATCTAGATTTGATTTATCTCTATATGTGAAGTTTCAAATTATTCACATTCTGGACTGCTTTCAACATTTTAGGGTTTTAAGTCCTTGTGCTTTCTGGATTTTGTAGACCTTTATTATATACTGGTTGCCTTATCTTTTAATTTTGTTTTATTTGTTGTACAAGTTTATAGAGCTTACATATTTTCTGTAAAACTTAGGTGGTAGACATATATGTTGTCTGCTTACTTCTGAATACAAAAGTAAAGGAATAAATGGAAAGAAAATAGTTTTTACAAAAAGTATGTGCATTCATTCCAGAATGGTTTTTATTATTTATTTTAAATATTTTTATAGTAAGTTTTAATTTTTAAAAAAGCAGCGCAATTTAATATACAGAAGTCCTGCATCTTCTTGGATCAAGAAATGATCCCATCTAGAAAAGTCTGCACAAGTGTTTCAAGGATTATACTGATGTGCAAATGTATTTATATTTTATAAAAACAAAGTTGACACATACTGTCTAGCACTACTTAGTTCAGTAGTACATAAATTTGCACTGCCTTTATCTCTTAAAGTTTCTAGATATTTTTAGGTAAATCATTCGCTTTTATCAATTAGAATTTCAAATTACCAGTGAAGTGCAAAAATTCATGGAAAAGGTGAAAGTGAAAAAGCTGGAGCAGAATTTTGTACAGGAATAATAGTGTAATTGTTGAAGTTAGTTTTGAAGTGGCTCCAAATAAATTATCTGTAAAGAAACACATCTGTATTTTTTTAAAAAAAATCTGGTTCATGGCTTGAGCGGATTATTATAGATGGTTAGCTGTTTCACACAAACATAACAGCTAACAGCTGTCAATGTTTACATGTGCTGCATCAGGTGTTCTGATCTGAGAAAATATTATTCGGCTCTATTGCTATAAATCCCCTTCAAATGCTGCTGATGGGGTAATGCATATTTCACAGGTATCAGTTTCAAAATTAACTCTTTCAGTTGTGATTTTCAAAATTAAAACTTACTCTCCTTTATCTCTGAGAAAATTCCTTTAGACGGTTTCACTTCAGGCATGAATTTCTATACTTAGATTATACACTGCTCAAAAAAATAAAGGGAACACTTAAACAACACAATGTAACTCCAAATCAATCACACTTCTGTGAAATCAAGCAACACTGATTGACAATCAATTTCACATGCTGTTGTGCAAATGGAATAGCAACCCTGATTGATAATCAATTTTACATACTGTTGTGCAAATGGAATAGACAACAGGTAGAAAGCATAGGCAGTTAGCAAGACATCCTCAATAAAGGAGTGGTTCTGCAGCTGGTGACCACAGACCACTTCTCAGTTGCTTTCTGGCTGATGGTTTGGTCACTTTTGAATGCTGGCAGTGCTTTCACTCTAGTGGTATCATGAGACAGAGTCTACAACCCACACAAGTGGCTCAGGTAGTGCAGCTCTTCCAGGATGGCACATCAATGTGAGCTGTGGCAAGAAGATTAGCTGTGTCTGTCAGCGTAGTGTCCAGAGCATGGAGGAGCTACCAGGAGACAGGCCAATACATCAGGAGACATGGAGGAAGCTGTAGGAGGGCAACAACCCAGCATCAGGACTGCTACCTCTGCCTTTGTGCAAGGAGGGACAGGAGGGGCACTGCCGGAGCCCTGCAAAATGACCTCCAGTGGGCCACAAATGTGCATGTGGCTGCTCAAACAGTCAGAAACAGACTCCATGAGGGTAGTATGAGGGCCTGACATCTACAGGTGGGGGTTGTGCTTACAGCCCAACACCGTGCAGGTCATTTGGCATTTGCCAGAGAACACCAAGATTGGCAAATTCGCCACTGGTGCCCTGTGCCTCTTCACAGATGAAAGCAGGTTCACACTGAGCACATGTGACAGATGTGACAGGGTCTGGAGACACCATGGAGAACGTTCTTCTGCCTGCAACATCCTCCAGCATGACCAGTTTGGCAGTGGGTCAGTAATGGTGTGGGGTGGCATTTCTTTAGGGGGCTACACAGCCCTCCATGTGCTCGCTAGAGGTAGCCTGACTGCCATTAGGTACCGAGATGAGATCCTCAGACCCCTTATGAGACCATATACTGGTGCGGTTGGCCCTGGGTTCCTCCTAATGCACGACAATGGTAGACCTTGTGTGGCTGGAGTGTGTCAGCAGTTCCTGCAAGACGAAGGCATTGATGCTATGGACTGGTCTGCCCGTTCCCCAGACCTGAATCCAATTGAGCACATCTGGGACATCATGTCTCGCTCCATCCACCAATGCCACATTGCACCACAGACTGTCCAGGAGTTGGGGGATGCTTTAGTCCAGGTGTGGGAGGAGATCCCTCAGGAGACCATCCGCCACCTCATCAGGAGCATGCCCAGGCGTTGTAGGGAGGTCATACAGGCACGTGGAGGCCACACACACTACCAAATCTCATTTTGACTTGTTTTAAGGACATTACATCAAAGTTGGATCAGCCTGTAGTGTTTTTTTCCACTTTAATTTTGAGTGTAACTCCGAATCCAGACCTCCGTGGGTTGCTAAATTTGATTTCCATTGATAATTTTTGTGTGATTTTGTTGTCAACACATTCAACTATGTAATGAACGAAGTATTTAATAAGAATATTTCATTCATTCAGACCTAGGATGTCTTATTTTTGTGTTCCTTTTATTTTTTTGAGCAGTGTATATTAAATGGAAGGCACAATATCAAAAATAATGACTTCATGGAAAGATTTGATGGGTAATTTAATTAAAAAGATTGAATGGGTACCTCTCTCTAGCTGTGGGTAACCTGAAGGTTTCAGTTGGTTAATTTATTCCTTGTAGCATTCAGTTATTTAGTGACTAGATGGTAAAAGCGTGTGCTAAGCCATTTACAAATTGTTGCAGTAATTAATCTCTCCTTAGAAGCTGTTAGTACATTCCTAACATTATGGTCTGTTCATTCTTTTTATATATATATACCTTTTGTCCTCACAGGTTATGTGTTCTGTATGTTGCATCGCCTGCCTGAACAGCATGATTGCACATTTGACCACATGGGACGCGGGCGTGAAGAAGCCATTATGAAAATGGTGAAACTGGACCGGAAAGTTGGGCGATCATGCCAGCGCATTGGCGAGGGCTGCTCCTGAGTGGCAAGACTCTTCAACCAAATGCTGTTCTCTTAGTTCACTAATGTTAGCCTTATTTAGGACAAAGTCAGCCAGACACTTGTACTGGGCAAGTTTCAGACTACAGCCAATCAATTTTCTTTCTTTAGCCAACCATCCTGGTACTGTAGTTTAGGAGTTAAATGGTGATCAACACTGATTACTGGCTGGTTGTTAAGGTGCCTACTAGCCATTGTATTAAAAAAAAATGACAACATATTATTGAGCATGGCTAGTGGATTGTAACAAAAAATATAAAGGCTTCTATTATTGCAGGAGTCAAGTTCTTACAAACAAACAAAAAGCCTTATGTTGGGAATTGTCCAGCAGCTGAGTAGAAACTGATGTAAAAGACTGCTTACGTGCATACCACGCTGGAAGAAACTACCCTTATTAGCCTGGCTTTCCTGTCCTCACTATTAGCTAACCTTGAAGAGATGAAACTGCTTAAAACAAGCAGGGTGGTTGCTAAACCTAAAAGACCTAAACCCTTACTTTTGCTATTTCCACGCATATCTTCTAAGGTCATGCAGCGCCACCAACATCAGGAAATATCTTGTGGTAGGAAGAGCTTTCTAGGAAGCCAAAAAGAGGGGACAGATTCTTATGACAACTTTTATATTAGTTGAAAATATCAGATTACAGGGAAATTATTTCTTCACTAAGGTGGAGGAGGAAATATCTTATTTTAAAGTTAGTGCTATTTTGGAACAAGCAGTAAACAGCGTGCATTTTCTACACAGCATCAACAACATTTCTTAAGTGGTGTGATCCAATTCAATATGCCAACCATAGTTTGCTGTTTCCCATCAGCCAAAATCTGATTGGCTCTTGTTTGCCTTTTGCTAAGTGCAGGTATCTGATAATTGAACAAATAAGGCTAATTCACAGCACAGTAGCCATGCCTGGATTCTACAGACTGACTTTCTGTAGCTAGACGTGTATTGAGGGGTAAAGGACATTTTGTAGCAAATGGAATTCAGTTAACAGTATTGGGGGAACAACCAGGAAAATCACCCTTTATTGAACTGAGTTTGTACACCTCACTTCCAGTGTATTAAGGAGATAATCAAATGGGCTGTCCCAGCCTTGTGACTATGCAGCTTGGTACTCAGTGAAGGTCTCTGCTCATCATCAGTTGCAAAGCAAGTGACTGTAAAATGCCTTGCATAGAATGGGGACTCTCCAGATCTGGTCTTTTAGAGCTACTGTTCTATACTGGGTATGTCAATTTCATTGAACTGAACTGCACATTTTTTGTTGTTTGTTTCTTTGTTTTTAATGTGCAGTGGTTTCCTCTAGCTACAGGCAAATGTGTCTGTAAGAAAAATATATATATATATTTATAATGGCCTAACGTGGAATGTTTACCCCACAAACTGGTTAGTGCTCAGTTAGAAATTTGGAATTAGGTCTAGTAGGGAATAGGGAAGGGTTGCTGGAAAAAGGGGATCTGTTTTGTCTCTCATTTCTCACAAATGGAATACATTTAAGCCACCAAAAAGAGTGAATTCCCTCATATCACTCTTTAAAAACGTTGTAGGGTGGAGCAGCTTCAATAAGTCACTGACTGCTCTGTATGTTCTGAAGATCAGTGACTAGTTTACAGGTTGATTTGTATTTAATCTGGTAGCCAGTATGGCCAGTGAAGGAGACTCAGCCTTTGCCTATATTTCAAATTGGTGATGTATTCAATCCACCATTCTAAAGTTCAATATGGAAAAGCCATTCTGTGTTGTACTCAAGGCTTTGAAATCAGAAATGGAATTTCCAGCTGCATGTTCTGTTTCCTAAGGAAGTATTCTCCTTTCATCGCTATGTGGGAGAAACCAGACAATTTTCTTTGCGTTTGCCATGAAGAGTTTCAAACAAACATGGACTTCAGCTGCTGCCACGCTATGCACTTTCTTCCCTTCTAAAATCCTAGCATAGCATTTGATGGACATTCTGATTGATGTACAAGACGTTCAGATTAATAACAAAGATGCTGTTTTTCTCTTGTTAATCTTTCTTTAGCCCTGATACACGTGCACAGTTGATTTCAAGGTATCTCTTGAGCAAACACTACTCAAGTTCATGTGGATTATGGACAATGTTCACTTTAAAAGGGGGGGCGGGGTTGTTCCTTTGCAGTATCTGTTCTGTGAGGTTTGTTAAACGTAAAGAAAGCTTAAGTTCTTGTAATCTTAAAGAAATCTTATTTAACCCTTTTTGTGTTCTAGATTTACTTACACATGTAGCTTAGAGCACAGATTTAGTTTAACATTGTGAAATATTAAAAATGATTGTAATTCTTTTTCCTCCTGCTTAAAAGAAACAAAACCATTAAACAGATCAGATTAAAAGTTGAATTCTTCTCTGAGTTTTGCAGTAGGTATGTTCCTCAATTCAGTGGCTGCTATATGGCTTAGTTCTTTAAATAACTTCATTACTGGTCTGTAGCCTTCAAATTAAGGCATATCCTAAATACTAGATTTAGGTGGCCATTTCTGGCTAAGAAATCTAGGTCAGAAAAAAACCTAAAACTGTTCTTTCTGATAAAAACAATATATTTAAGTTTGACTTTTTATACCTATGTAAAAAAGAATCTCAAGAGTGTCAAAAGATTTCTAAAATGTTTATACCCAGGAACAAAGATTAGTCTATGAACTGGTATCATTATTCTGCCATAAATATTTGTGTATTCTGCAGCAAAAGTTCCTTAATTCACTTTAACATCCTTGTCTAATTTTTCACTTTATTCATGAATTAGTTCAATTTTCATGGTTGTTCAGTATATATATCAGAATTCTATAATAAAACTCTGCAAACAAAAATCCAAACTACAGCAAATATAACTAAGGGAAGAAATTAAAGGTTTTACATTGGGTATTAAAATCCAACAGATGCTAAACTTAATTCCTTTGATTTCTTGTTGAATTTTGAATTAGCAGGTACAAAAAAATATTTAAACAAGTAGAGTATATATGTGCACTTTGATCTACTTCTTATATATAGTGTGAACTTATAACTTTTTAATACTTGTGGTCTAGCAACAAAAATTAGATATGATTCTATATTATTAATTCCCCTCATTACTCATTAGCATTACATTTAGCTTTGATAATATTTTAATTCATACTGTTCTAGGTTTATAGACCTCACTTAAATATAATGCTGAACTGTTCTGCTAAGACATTGCATGCTCCTTGGAGACTTCGTTTCTGCAGAATTAGGTGGAATTTCATATTATGAACATACCACAATTGTCACCAAAGGTTTACTACAAAACTGGAGCATCATTCAACCATGTGTTGAGTTCTATCAAAATGAAGTGAACTCTCACCATATTCTTTTTGTATTCTTAGGTACATTTCAGGACTGTTTTGACAGCTGTTGCAATTCAAATCCCAGTAAAGAAGCAGCAGAAAATAAGCACTTTAAAAAAAAACTGGTTAAATATCAAGGGATATTCAAGTGACATAGAAATAGTAGAGATACAAAACAAAAAGCTGGTACTAGAAATCAGCATTGCATTAAGAATTTAAATTGTTTTTATTAAATAATACTGTATAATATTAAGAGTCTTTTAAAATTATGTAATTTTTTTTCAAAAATTGAAATACAAAGCTAATTTTTTTTTTCAACAGACAAAACAAGACAACACGTTAAAAGAAAAGTACATTAAAAATACAAACACACACACATAAAAATTTCTGTTTAGTTTTTCTCAACTGCATGCTGTACAGGTTTCATGGCACTGAAGATTTAAAAGAGCACAAGAAGTGTGTGCAGAAGTAGATTATATTTTTCTGGAATGTGTTTTCTTTACCCAAGGCTGCTTGGTTTTCATTTTTCTAGACTAACCATGGGCTGGGGGAATTATGAAATATTTCCTATTTTCATTTTAAATTATACATGAAATTTAAGACATGAAAGAAATTTTCCAATGTTTGGAAACATTCCAAATTAAGAAATAAACGTGAAAGGCTTGGAAAGTTTGTCTCAGTACAGACAGATCTACAGTTTTCACAAATTCATTAAAAATGATGAAAAAGGATTAGAAGGAATAGAAATTGCTTCTGGTGATAGTGTTTCCAATTCAGAACTACTGGCATTATTAGTTAATGTTCCATGTGTAACAAAGGGTATATCTTTTATTGCCGCCACCACCCCCACCCCCAAAAAATAACATTTTCTCTTATCTTTGATGCCAGGCACAACAAAATCTGGAATTTATCACAGACTATTTTTAGTGTTTTCACTCTTCAGTTTTATTTTTTTGCATGTTCACTTTTTAAAAAAATATCTTTTTTAAAAAAAGGGGGGGTCCTTGGTGGTCTTTGAGCTTAGTTGTTCCCTTGCAAACTTTCCATTACCCATCAGTGCTAACATCATCTGGACTAGCACTTGCTTAGATAATGAAATTTCTTGCAAAAAAATGAGCAAGCTCAGAGACCACCAATTTCAACCTTGAGCTACAAATAGTCTCCTTTATTAGTGTATTCCTTAGTCTGTTTGCATTAAAAATAAATACCATTTAAAAGTACTTTTAGTCAAAACACTTATTTTATATCAAAGATAATTTACATAAGCAAACCAAGCTAACATAAACATGATATTTTACAAATAAGTACAATGACTTCTTTCTTTAAAAACAGTTTAAAATTAAATAGAGCCTGTACATCAAGTTTTCCCAATATTTGTCTTTGCACTCCCCACAAAAAGACTCCTGTTTTCTGATCTTGTGTCTAAATTTATAAATATTTTACTTCTTTAAATCTAATAAACCTGGGAAGATTGAATTAGGTTAAGATTGCTCAAATGCAACTATCAGTGAAGGCAAAATATACATGTCCCAAAATAATGTTGCAGGATCCAATCTGAATGGGACACTGGGACCAGAAGTTTAGTCTTCCAAGCTTTGGACTTGTACTGGAACCCATCCTCCTGAATGACCAACCCAGAATGGATCCTGCAACAACTATAAGTGCCTTTATTGCTTTTGTATCTTTCTGAGTTCATGAGCTTTTTTCCCTAAAAGCATATAAACTATTTTATAAAGGAAAAATGACCTACCCAGTTTACATATTTTAATTATGTAATAATCAGAGGAGGAGGAGGAGTGAAGGAAAATATATTTGTATTATTTGGGCCTCTGTTTGAAGAATTAGGCCCCTTGATTGTCCTTGCTTATGTTGGAAACATTGTATTTTGTGATTTGACTACTGTGACTTTGAAATGCATTTTGCAAGCTGCTCCTATTTCTGTGTTACTGAAATTTAGAGCGAAGAGGGCAAATTATCTTTAAACATGTATTGACTTTCAAAAGGACCAGTTGTTAGCAAAGTATTCTAACCCAGTGTAGACCTGAGTTTTATTATTGTTTCAAGACATAATGGACATGAAGTTAATAGGCAAATCAATGATTGTAAATTGTAAAATGTTGGTATATGGTATCCTGCATATTGTCTGAATCTCCTATTAAGGTACCAGGGATTTAGTGTATTTCATCAGTATATCTAAGTTGACTGCTGAATGGCTGTAAAATATGGCCTGCCTTATTTCAAATCTCATCCTGGGATCCACCATTATCCTTTCCACATTCTGACAGAGCATTCTATCTAATGAACCAAAGATAATAAGCAGTTAAACTGTGTTTTTATAACCTTTGCCCTGATGTCAGTGTACCTGTAATGAAGCTAAATTTAATCAGCCATATGTCCATATACGTGTTCTATTTCCTAAATACACAATTTCATTTGGATGTGGGTGCAATATCTGCTTGTTTAAATGCACTGGTAACATGTCAGAAGATTGTTGCATAAATGTCCGACATGCTGGATTTGAACATAATGTCTTTAAATAAGATATAAACTATTCACATATCTCTACATTGTTATATGCTGTGTTGATTACACACTTTTTTTAAATTTGGAATTGACCCTTTTAAGTGGTAACTACTTCAGGATATGGACATGTTAAAATCAAAATAATTTCTCTAATGCAATTGATATTATTTTTCTGAAAAGCTGTTTACTACAGCCCCAATGGTATTTTTTCAAGGCAACTGGACTTTCTGGTTTTTCTTTGAAGACGTTTCGCTTCTCATCCAAGAAGCTTCTTTAGCTCTGAATGGAATCCTTCCATTCCCCACCATCCATTCAGAGCTGAAGAAGCTTCTTGGATGAGAAGCGAAACGTCTTCAAAAAAAACCAGAAAGTCCAGTTGCCTCTTAAAAAGCACCTTTGGGGCAACCCTGACGTGGATGACTGAGAATCTTCATAGACTCTTTACTACAGTCTGATAGTCAAGTGAAAGACATCACTCGAACATTTGTTAGTTGCAAAGCACAACTAACCAGGTTTGAGTTTTGGAAAATAATGGCTGTCAACAAGATGACTTCTTGAACTAAGGACACCAGAGTGACTGAAACATGAATCAAACAAAGATATTATTTAAGCATTAGCTGAACTAAAGATAGCCTTTTCCTTTTATATTTAATGGCCTTAATTTTTTTCTGAATGGTTAAATTTGCATATTGCTTTTGTCTGGAATGTTGCATGGTAGGCAAAATTTTGATTTCTTAATAACTATTTCAAAACAAAATTTAGACAAGAAATTTGGCTTTTTTTTTTCACAAGTGGAATTCTGGTTAAATTAATGGAATTAGTGGAATTCAGCATTTGAATGGTACAATGAAATAATGAGTTGATTGTTATGGAAGAAAAACTACATGGAACTGCTTGTCAGGGTTAGGGTTATAGAAAATGTGTATATTGAACTGGAAAAATAAAGAAATTGGAATATTATAGTTAGATCCAGGATTTATCAGGAAGAGTTTGAAAAGTATGAGGTAGCTGAATACGTGCTAAAAAAAACCTTGCTTGCCTTCTTTCCCTTCTTTAAAATTTAACAGTTCTTAGTGTTGGGGCTATTTATTTTATTACAAATAACTTTCTATGCAAATTCAAATGTACCTCTGAGTTCAGTAACATTTACTCTTTAGTCAGTACGTAGGTCTAGAGCAGGAGTGTCAAACTTATGGCCCGTGGACCGGATGTGTCACATGCAGGCCACACCCACCCCAGCTCCGCGAAAGTAAAAAATCATGTGATGGCAATGTGACACTGCTAGTTTGACACTCATGGTCTAGAGCAGTGGTCCCCAACCTTTTTTGTACCAGGGACCAGTTTCACGCAGAAACACTTTTTCAAGGGGGAGGGGAGGACAGACATTTTTTCAAGGAGGTGGGGGAGGAGTCCGAGTTTGGTGGTTTGCTTGCAGACATTTCATTACCTGACTAGATAACATCTGATGTTGTTACCTAGTCGGATAATAAAACGTCTGCCAGCAAACCACCAAGTTCAGGGAGCGCCAATGCCTCCTCATTGCAACCCTGAGCGACAGATATGCTCTTCTATTGGGACATTTAAAATGGAGGGTTTCAGCTGCAGATTCAGGAACTGCGCCGGGCTGAGGAGCGCCTTCAAAACTGAGCGCTGGGCGGCGGCGGTCCACGGCTCAGGACAAGTCCCTGCAGGATGGCTGAGAAGCCCTGCCTCTCAGCCCTGCCTCCCTCAGCCTCATCCCTCAGGTGTCTCCCTCCCTCCCTCAGCCTTATCCCTCAGGTGTCTGCCTCGTTCCTCTCTCTGTCGCTCTCTTGCTCCTCCACCAGCCCAGGAAGAAACTGCTTCAAAGAAGCCGGCAGGGTGGCTTTTCCTGTCGGCACAGCTCCTCCGAAGCGCCCGTTCACCCCCACCCCGCCGCCCGCGGTTCAATCCAATGCTCCGTTCTGCCTGCCTGCCTGCCTTCGTTTCTGGTTGTTTCGGAGCAGCTTCGGCTGAGTAAAAGAGGCGAATAGTTATTATTCTCAGCCAAAGCTACTCCGAAACAACCAGAAACGAAGGCAGGCAGGCAGGCAGAATGGAGCACTGGATTGAACCGCGGGCGGCGGGGTGGGGGTGAACGGGCGCTTCGGAGGAGCTGCGCCAACAGGAAAAGCCACCCTGCCGGCTTCTTTGAAGCAGTTTCTTCCTGGGCTGGTGGAGGAGCGAGAGAGTGACAGAGAGGAACGAGGCAGGAGGAAACCGAAGCCACTGAGCCTGAGAGCAGGACAGGCTTTGGTTGCTTCCTCCCTCACCTTCTTTCATTTGTGTCCTTGATCCCTGATCCCAGCAGCATTCACCGAAGGCGAAGAAAGCCGCCATTTTTATTTTTATTTTCTTTGCGGCCCAGTACAAAATGATCCATGGACCGGTACCGGTCCGCGGCCCGGTGGTTGGGGACCCCTGGTCTAGAGTCTTGATTTCTATTTCTGCCATCCTCCAGTGAATGACTTCTGTAAAATGAAATGCACATTTATCATTAGATCAACTTAGCATCTAGTAATTTAATAATCATTGTTTTGTTCTGCTGAGAGCATTGTTGTTGAACTTCCTTTATATCTTATGGGAGGAGCAATCACCTCCAAGCCTTACTCCCAAGTCTCTCCTTTTATCTTAGCTGCTCTTGCCTTCTGGCAGTACACACACACTTGGAACAGGCTCCCCTTGTTCCTATGCCTCGCTGTGTCAGAT